TTTATTCTCGTATCCAAGAATTTAATTTCTTTGCTGATAGCTTCCTTCCTGATGATGGCGTTGACGACCAACTTTGCCGCCAACGTGCAGATTCTGGACCAGAACCTTAATGTTTCACCAAAACTTGCTTCCGTCATCCATTCCCTATCGCCGTTTGACTTTTCAAGAGTTGGGTAGAGGTGAAAGAAAATCAGAGTAGAAGAAAATGCCAATGGCGACACTTGATTTCATGATTTTCCTCTGCGGCACGTATGGAATGAGACATGCAGAATTCAGTTATGAAACTGCAATGAACTATCGCTGACTCTGTTATAATTTCGAGTGGCGCCTTCTGTAGCATATCCGTGATGCGTAGTCCTCTTCACCCCCCTCCTTGTTCAACCATTGAGATTTGTTGTAATCGTCATCCGCTTGTTCCACCGTTGGGGTATTTGGGGTTAGTCGCGCTTAGTATGGATCTTCGTCTTCGACTTTGCCGCTAAGAGTGGCCCTACGAGGAGCTTAGAACTCCTGACGTTATCGCTCTCAGAGTCATTGGAGCACACAACACTCTCCATCATGACATAATATGAAACATTTCCCACCATTTCGTAGACGATCCACCTTACCGAAGACTATCGATTAGCAAACGAATTTATTAGACATTTACTATCGTTGTGAGTGCAAAAGTATTTGGCTTCCCGACATTAAAAATTGCTTGGTAGGAAAGATACAGCTATTTCAATCACGTAGAATATCAACAGCGATAGGCAATAGCTGCACTAATTCATAAATGAAAGGTTTAATTTACAGTAGATTCCTGGATATCATCACTTTATTAAAAAAAAAATTAGACTTGCGAATGGATATCTTTTCAAAGAACAAGGTTCTCTGATGCCTTATAAATTCAAAAACGAAATAAAGAAAGAAAAAAGAAAGGGAAAAAAGAAAGGAAGAAAGAAAGAAAATGTTATATATGCGGAATGTTTGGTGAGTCAAGTTGAAGTTGTGAGTGACACATAGTGGCAGACAGGTGTTGCTGTTCAAATAAACATCAATTTTTTTTAATTACATCAGATACAAATAGGCTCGCAAGAAATAAGTCCATACTGAGAAGTGTTCATTACAACCGTCTCCACAATTAGAGAGTAGACAAATAGAAATTCACATGCATAACAAGAAAAAAAAAGAAAGCAAGAAAGAGACTAAGGCGGAAAGAAAGAAAGAAAGAAAGAAAGAAAGAAAGAAAGAAAAGGAGTCTAAAACAAAAGAAGAAAAACAAGCAGGGGAAGTAAAGAGAGAGAGAGAGAGAGAGAGAGAGAGAGAGAGAGAGAGAGTAGTTAAGGAAAAGGAAACAAAGAAAAAATAGAGAATAAACCGGAAAAAGAAATAAAGAAAATAATATATGTCTATATCTCTGAGATGAGGTATTATGATTATTTACATTATTCGAACTGTTATCCTCATCTTCATCGCCATGTTCACAACATTTTGGCCTCTATATCTTTGAAATGAAGTATTATGATTACTTGCATTTTTTACATTATTAATAGTGTCATCCTCATCTTCATTGCCATATTCACAACATTTTGGCTTCTATATCTCTGAGATGAGATGTTATGATTACTTGCATTATTTATATTATTAAGAGACTTATCCTCATCTTCATTGCAATATTCACAACATTTTGGTCTCTATATCTCTGAGATGAAGTATTATGATTACTTTCATTATTTACATTATTCGGACTGTTATCCTCATCTTCAATGACATATTCACAACGTTTCTCCCGTTGTACACTCCGGCCTTCTTCAGGGGAGCGGAACTGAACTCACGACTCTTGTCACTAGATCTAACCAACGTCTTTTTCCACTGGGTCATGTATTCATGAGACCAAAGTGTTGTGACTTCAGTACCAGGACACAGCAGAGGTGAACCAAAAAACTTGGAGAGTCGAGTTAAAGGGAAATAACTGAGACATCCGCAAGAGCCATGGCACGTGGAACTAGAACAATCTCGTGAAAAATTTGACGTGATTTTTAAAATAAAATTTAAGGCGTGAAATCAGAGGTGGTCAGGTCCAAAGGTAAGAGTTTCATGACCTCGAAATCCGTTTAAGATTTGTAAGACGAGGAGACTTAGTTTCTAATAAGGAAAATATCCACCATTTACGAACTATAAAATCGGAAGCCATTACTAACAATTAGTAATTAACAACTGAATAATTATCAACATGAACTAATTAGTAACATGTAGCAACTAGTAATGAATAACTGAATAAAGGCTTTCTGCTTACTGTACAACTTCACGAATAATAAAGAAACGGAATCTATGAAGAGTTATGAACACCTAGATCCTTAAGAGACGTGGCTAGATGACGACTCAGAATACAAAACAGTGGAAAAGTCAAAAGAAAACCAATTCACTGTTTTTCACAAACAGTCATAGCAATTCGCAGATAATGAAGAAAAGGAATGTGTGGAGATCTATGATCACCTACGTCCTGAAGGGACATGGCAATTAAAAAAAAAAGTATATGTCGAATACCTTAGCACAAGCAACACTAATACATTAGCATTCGAATTATCTATTGTCTCTTGATCAATATTACTCGGCTATAAGATGACTGCCTGCCATATTGCGAAGGTTAAAAATCTTTTCACATGAATTATTTTAGAATAAGTTTTTCTTTCTCAGTGACCCGCAACTGACATTCTGACAGAAGTGAGCTTAGTAAAATAAAATTTTAAAAAATCAGAACGATTTAATAGTTTTCAAATGAGTTTATTTCTCGTTTATTCGAAAAGTTTTAAGGCGGCCTAGAAGCGTCCTTTATTTCAAGTTTGACGCCTGTTTAATTTGTTCTTAATTTCTAAATTAGTCGAGTACAATAACTTCACGAATTCGTTCTTCTTTCTCTCTCAGTTTTATTTACTTCCCCCCACCGCCCTAAAGTAGCTTCCCTAGAAAGCTTTTCTAGAAATATTTTCATGGTAATTGTTCCGAAGAGCTTTCCTTTTTGATTTACGAATTTAAGCGTACTACTAGATTGGCGCCAAGGTATCGCCATCTTACATTTGAAATGGCTAGATGTCACAGTCAGTTCTATGCTGATAGTTTCTTCTCTCGCACTTCTCTCTAGAAGAACTCTTTTCTGTTTCCTTGCTTTCGGGTCATCTTAAAATATTTAAAAATAATGTCAACCGTCATCTTCTGTCTTCTTAATTCCTGTTTTTTATTGGTCTCTCTCCTTAACAGGCATATAGCTTGATGATTGCGTTTAAGCATAAAACAGACTGTCGCATCTAGAAGTTGATATCAGTGTCCACTTTTATATTTACATACGTCCTGTCTCTGATATTGAACACTATTGAATATAGCATATCTTAATGATATATTTTGTTATATATATATATATATATATATATATATATAATAAAATATATATATATATATATTATATATATATAAAATATAAAATATATATATATAAAATAAATATTTATATATATAAAATATAATATATATTATATATATATATATATATATATATATATATATATATATATATATATATATATATATATATAAACCCTAAAGAGCCAGGTAAACCTTAGGTTTCACCCTAAACGGATCATCAGGTAGAGTCCAGTTTTACCCTGACGATCCGTTTAGGTGAAACCTAGGTAGGTTTAATTGGCTCTTTAGGTTTATATTAAGTTTGCTCTACTTCGAGTATTGAGCACTATACGTCGTTACTTTTACTCGTTTTGGAGGTTTTTTTTTCTTTGGACTCTGAGCTTGAACTCTGGACAATTGTTTTCGCTTCAATTTCATGTTCTTAGTTCTTTCATTTTTTATTCCTCATTTTTCCTGTTTGTTCTACTACAAGCCGAAATATCCAAGGTTTCTCCAAGGATTACCACTATATATATATATATATATATATATATATATATATATATATATATATATATATATATATATATATATGATGGACTCACCGGTCGTTTTCAACGTATGAGTGTCTTTCAGTTCAGTTTTTAATCATGTACCTGTCCTCATCGGCTTAACTCTCGCCAGTGGACATGTTGCTCAGGTGGAATAGCAAAGAAGGAACACAGAATTGAACCGCAGACTATCCACACAAAAGATTTAGAATGGTGAAGGCTTGTGTAGAACCAGTTACACTTATTGGAGGTGCTGATAACAATGAGTTGGTGCAAATATTTGCCACTAACACAATGAACAACACTCTTCTGTGCACTGCTAGTACAGGAGAGGTATAACTCCGTGATAATATATATATATATATATATATATATATATATATATATATATATATATATATATATATATATATATCACTGATAATGTACTTCTTTCATATGTTTTAAGACTCTTTAATAAAATACAAGAATTCTTACGCGACATTTCGTAGCCCTCTGGGTCAAGTTCTCAACGTTAAAACGCGCAAACTCTTTTGCTGTTGTTGCCATGGCAACTGCCTCGCTGTGACTCAACCAATTCTAACGTGGCTTTTGGTTGCGTTTTTATTCTGGTTCCTACCATATTCACGTGATTTCACTCAGCTAACCTGTAGCTTTCAGTTCCCTGGCCATCCCTAATAAATGCCGTCTTGTACTTTTCCATGACGGAAATATTAAATGTGTTGCTTGTATTTCGCCATCTTTTAAAGAACGCGCGTTTGGCACGACTCGTCTCTTGTTCATTGGTCTTTTCTTTTTTGGCCCCGCCATGCTTTATGCAGCAGTCGTAAATTAATCTAAACAAGTCATGTGACCTCTCAATAAATCTGATGTTACTGGAAGCATTATTTGTTCACGACGTATCATTCCTTTAGAGTTTAATATCTCTCTCTCTCTCTCTCTCTGGGATATCTCTTCAGGACGTAGTGTTCATAGCCCTCTACAGCGTCCTATTACATGTGTTGCTTATTTGTATTTTTACTCTGTAGCTGCCACTTTCTCTTCTTCATCATTGTGTACTTTAGCGTTTCTATGTTCTCCATTCATTATTTTCTCGTTTCTTACCTTTTTTCTCTCTCACTCTCTTTCTCACACACTTTCTTCTTTCCATTCATTCTTTTTCTCTATCGCCTTCTTTTTTTTCATTCATTTTCCTTCTCTCCTACCTTTTCCCAATCATTCACCTTTTCCCAGACTTTTTTTTTCATTCATGCTCTTTCTCTATTGGCGTGTTTTCTTTCATTCTCCTTATTTCCCGCCTTTTTTTTATTTCCCGCCTTTTTTTTCCTTGATTCTCCTTGTCTACCCTTTTTTTTTTTTTTCATTCATTGCTCTTCAACTTCACCTTCTTTGCGTTCATTCTCCTTCTCTGTCGGTTACTTTTCATTCATTTTCTTTTTCATTCATTCCCCTATTCTCTTGTTTTTTTTGGGGGGGTTGTATTTTTTTTGTTTTTCATTCAATATATTTCTCCAGCACTTTTTTCTTTTCGGCTATCGGCCACTTTTCATTCATTCTCGTTTTTTCATTCATTCCCCTTTTCATTCACTTTCCTTCTCGCCTGACTTTTTTCTTCATTTCCCTTTTCCTGCACTTTCTTTCATTCCTTCTCTTGCTCTAACGACTTCTTTGCGTTCATTCTCCTTCTCTCCGCCTTTTCATTCATTCGAATTCGTTTCTCCTCCTCCGCCTATCAGATTTCCGCCTACTTTTCACTTTCTTCTTTATCAAGTCTCAACATTGTCTTCTCTTTCTTCTTAGGCTTTCAACTTATACGCTCTTTCTCTCTCTCTTTTTTTTTCTTCCCTTCTAGTTCTTCTATCTATGTCTTCCTTCGACTTCCTTTTTCATATTCTTATCCAGATAACCTTCTCCTCCCCTACTTCCTCTCTCATTTATATCTTTTTTTCTTTATTTCTTCCTCTACATTAGTTCCCCGCCCCCTGTCGTTATATTTCTATTTCTCGTTTTTCCTGGCCTCTTTCTTTCTTTTCTTGAAAGAATAAATTCATGGCTGCTTTAGATATCAAATCCTTATACACTAGCATATCAGTTAATAAATTATAAAGATATACAGACACATTATAAACTATTTTCCTTTCGATAACCATTTTTATAGACAGACATTTCGGTTAGCGACGCAATTGCTTTTTAGTAACGTATTCACATGTCTTTTATAAGAATTTTTAGAAACTGCTCCTTTCCAAAATATTTTGCCTAAACATTCAACATATATGCGATATATCGATAATATTTTATTAATATATCCACCTAGTACACTATGACTTCATACTGTAAATAAATTAAGATATTCAACATAGAAATGAATTACTTACGAAACAGAAAAAATAAAATCGTTTCTTAATATGACATTAAACAGCACAAATAATGGATATCTATTGTATATAAGAATACAATAATGGCACAAGGCCAAAAAAGACGAGGGGCTGAGGCTGGTCTTCACTAACTATCCTATACCTAGGTAATTCGATTCACGACCCATTCACTCATTACAATTTGCACATTCACTACAAAAACTCGTCCGTCGCCAAACAATCCTCCATACACCACAATACCACATCCTCTCAAAGTGGGGGGTGCTATAAAACGCGCCCCATGCCATAAAAATTTAATGATTATAAATTATATATAAAAAAATCTAAAGATGAAAAATGAGAGAGAAGGGAGATGAATGCAATAACAAACTAAACATGAACACAAATTAAACTAAACCTAATTGATGTTAGTAAGGCCCGTCCAACCCTCAAGAAAAGAGAGGCCGCTGTATTCTGCCCATTTGGATAAAATCAAGAAGCTCTCTCGCTAAGGGAGTGGGAAAAGGAGAAAATATAGACGGACATGGAAAAGAAAAAGCTGACCCAGTCGAGATAAAATGGGGTCAAAACAAACTGGGGAGGTTGGGAATCTCAACTTGGATCATAACCAAAGATGTAGCCGGACACAGGCCAGAAAACAACACTTAATCACATTAACTAGGTACACAAAAGCTTGTCTAACCTAACCAAGAAGAGGGCTCCATAGGAAACCACCCCGATATGACGTAGGTTAACTAAAAGAGAAAATCAAGCCTAGACCCGATAATGATCTGAAACGAAACGTCTGTCGTAAATCCACAAGTAAAAATGATGTCATCAATTTCTACAAACCCTTTGACATCAAAATAGCATCTGGAATAAATACAGATTTCTACTTAAGAGTTCTTAGTATTTGTACGACTCAAAATTTGTATGATGTTCAAAAATACATCGAGGATACTTTTCAACTGCTTCAATGTTCTAATTATTTCACTTATAACGCGAGAAGGAAATCATACAAAATTCACAAAAACAAAACAAAATAAAACAAATAACATTAATAAAATTAACCTAATCAACTCAATAACAACTACAATTAAAAAAAGAATTTGTCTATACTTAATATAAGATTAACAAATAATATAAGATTTAATTCTTTAATCAACACAAAACAAAATAACAAGATTAAGCAGACTATTTACAAAATAAAGAATCTGCAATGTTATCGGTCCTGATCTAGCATCTCGGCTTCAATCACTTTCCCATCGCCATAATTTGGCTTTACTGTGAGTTTCCTATAAATATTGCCATTGTAATTGTTATCTCTTGTAGAACACTTTGCTGGCTTCTTGTTTTCCAGTCAACTCTGAAATTTAAATGCAATGCCAATCGCTATCTGCAAATCTTCTTAATTACCCTCCTTTGATTGTCCTCTCGACTTAATAATATTTTCTTTTTTCTCAATTTCTTTCATACTTAGTAACGCTTTGTGTGACTTTAAGGCCTTGCTTGGGATGAAATGATAAAAGATGTCCCCAAAATACATTGATGGAACGACTGTGAATGTAAATAAAACATCGTATGAAGATAAAAGGGATTTTACAAAACAATACACTTCATGTATAAGTTGTTCAGAGTAAGAGATCTGACTTAAAGTGTAGCTTTGATGAAAAGAGAAAGTAATTTATTAAAACGAAAATGCATTGAAAGTGCACTAATTTCGGAATCGTTGACTGTAAATTTACGCCCATCATTAGGCCACAACTTTCCTTTCCTTACAAAACTACAGCTGAAAACAAGTGGGGTATTTAAAAATAAAAGAGATAAAAAAAACGAATTATATTAAATTTCGAATTTAAAGCTTATCGTCCCAGTATCTTTAACGTTTCGATTTAAACCGTAACGGGCGTTCATTGCATTTGTCCACTCACCCCACCCTTCTTATTTATAAGATTGATTCCGTTCGTTAGTCGTTTGAAGAAGTTTCTTCTCGGAACAAAACGGGTCGTTAAGATGATTTTTTTTTTAAATAAATCCATTAATTCTTAATTAAATATATATTTCCCTCCCTCTCTTACTCTCTTTCTTTTCCTCTCCATCCCCCCTCTTTTCCCTCTCTCTCTCTCTCTCTCTCTCTTTCTCCTTTCCCCACAAAATTTTTTAAAACCTTATATTAAATCTTTTTCCTTTTCTTTTTTTTTCTTTTTTCCTCTCCCTTTTCCTTTCGTCGGGATAAATTGACTCCATTTATTAAGAAAACGTCGCTCTGAAGAGACGAATATATTTTTTGTATATTCATGAAATAAATTATAACCGAATGAATTTTTAAGGATCGTCTATACTCATTAATATATATATATATATATATATATATTTATTAAAGACATTTTTATTTATGTTTAACGTTGTTATTTTATAGATACAAAACATAAATAAAAATGTCTTTAATAAATAAATTGTCGGACCTCGTCCATTTCTTAACATATATATATATATATAATATTTCTTGCATAATTTGATAAACTATTTTTTCCTTCATTTCCGACATTATTCTTTATTCTTATGTAATATTAGGCTTTCGCTCCCCCACCTCCGCACAAAAAATTATGAGTAGCAGGAAAAGAAATGGTATAAGAGAAGACATCATCTTTTCAAAACAGTCCACACCCTTATGTCTAAGACGACTTACCAACCTCCCCCCTCGATCCCACTCACCCCTCTTTTGTCCCTTCCTCCTCAATATTTTCTCGTCTTTCTAAAGCCTTTTTCTCGCCCTACCTTTGCTTTCCTCAGTCAGAAATTGATTTAAATTCGTGCTCACGTTTCAATTTTCTCTGAAAAAAACAATAATGCTGTTAATTTCTAATTTTCACCATTAATAGCACAACTCCATACAAAAATTCTGTCGTTCGATGTTTAAATCTCTGGGCTTGTGGCGACAGAATTATACATTTGATTTATGACACCAGTGATGATTAATTAGCTATAGTCACAATTAATATAGTTAATAATAATTAGTCATAGTCACAATTAATATAGTTAATAAAATTCGAATAATCATGAAAGAATTTAAATCTGTAATTTAAATTTTATTCTTTCGGATGTAAAATTGTGTAAGGGGATTTTTGTGGTATCTGTTCACGGTAAACAGTCATTATTTGAAATCATTGTACAATGTCTGATATAAAGAAAGCTTATTCATTTACCGTTTACAAGAGAAAGGGAAGTATTAACTTTAAAAATCTGGCACCTATTTCGGTTATCAGTGGGTCTTTTAATTTCTAGCCGCTTCACTTATCTCTTTGTGTTAAGGTGGTCTCTTGGAGTAGATTTGCGTAGATGTTAATTTTAAGTTAACTGACCACTGGCTGTTTCAAAGGCGTGTATTAATATGTTTTTAGGTAGAGGTATACTCAAAGGTTTTTGAATTTACGTAACCTAACAACAATGCTTGTTTTTTCTAACTACACGATATGTTTTCTAGTAAGTCCGCAAAATTTAATCTCATTTTATATTTTACATTTGACGGCTTTTTCAAAAAGACTTATATATATATTCGATTGTCCCGTCGAATTCGACGTATGAGAGTCAAGTACATCAGTTCCTAGGAAACTGACAGCACATGAGATTTGATTATAGTGGTGAAGATTTTGGGCAGAACCATCCACACTTTTTGGAGGGCCAAATACAGAGATCTGGTTCACTACGTGCTACAAGGTCCCCAAACGACCCTTCGCAGGTTTTGAATTCAGAATTGTCCTTCTCCTAGATTAGTTGCCATCCAAGGCTATAGAACCCAGTCTGTCCTGCTATTTACCCATAGCTGGAGGGAGAAGAAGAGGATTCCCAAGGGTATTAGCACGTAAGGGAATGTAATGGATTCGATTGAAATTCGAACTCGGCTCTCCGATTCCTCAATCGAAGCAGCTGTCCACTACCATCCGTGCCTCCCTTTTTTATTATATATATATATATATATATATATATATATATATATATATATATATATATATATATATATATATATATATATATATATATATATATATGAAAATAATGGATTAAATCCGACAAATGTTTTAATGCGTTTTTTATACGTTTTTTTTTAGTTTAAAAGCAGTAATTTGAGTTTTGCTAACCGGAAGTACTATTTGGTTGTCATAGCATGTCAGGCTTAATGACGGTTCCGTATAAGATACATGTTCGATTCCTGTCGGAGGACAAATATTTTCTACGAAATTTCTCAAACATTCAGGCCGGTAAATGTAATTAATACTGTTTAATTAAATAACAGAGCAGTTACTCAAATAAGTGTATCCATAGAAAAAAACGTATAAACAGAAAATCTATTAAAATGTATATATTATATATATGTTGATCCTCGTCTAGTATGACTTTCTAACATGTCTTTGAAATCTTTGTGGTAGCTATTTCAATTATTATAATAATATCAACAAAAGAACTGCGGCTGCAACTTCAAATGACTGAAGTCTTGGAATGGTTCCAAAGCTAATCGGATTCCTATAAATATTTACTATGTTTAATTTAGTCTAGCGTAAGAACACAACAGAAGAGAATCCATAGCTTTACGAGACTCGCTTGCCAACGGTGGATGTCATATATGACTGTATAAAGATACAAATTTTTAGATCATTGTACAGAAACACACCGCCCAAAGAAATGATTTTTTT